ACGTTTGGCCAATGGCCGCCTGCATATCAACAAACGGCAATGACGGATACCCTAAGAGTAATCTGCAGCCGGTCAAAAGAATAATCTAGGTTGGCCCCAGCCGGTACCGCCTGCTAATCCAAATTAGAATAATTCTAATTTAAATGCAGTCAAGGACCGCCTATCTATTCGTCCGGGTGCTTGTATGGACGGATGCCTACTTAAAGTTGGATAATTTTAAGCAAACAACCGTACAGGGGCAGGTAGAGCCAATGCATCCGGCATACCGCATGTATTGAATCAAATTGCAAAAATAAAAAGATTTGTACGAACAAAAAATTGCAAAAATTAAAGCAAATAATACCAAAGGAAAAACTGACTCAGTCGACAAATATAATAAAAATAGAAGATTGTCAGTCGGACCTATGTCCGGGGAAGGAGGTACAAACAACTACACGGCTCGCAGGCCGGAAGTAGAAATAAAGAAGGGAATAAATAAAGCTACTGCTACTGCTGCTACTGTTGCTAATGATGTGACAGCTGGCCCAAGCCGGAATGAGGAGCCTCTTGAGTTTGCTGGGCTTGGGCTTCGTCAGTCCACCCGACATCTGATCTTTCTCCCGCTCCTCTTCCTCTTCGGGAATGCCGACCCACTCTTCAAAGGGCGCCGACTTCTCCGATTCCGAGGACCTGGGCGTCAAACACCTCAATGGCGTATTTGTACCATAATTCAAAGAAGGCATATCCGGTGTCCGGATGGAAGATGGACCAAGCCATCTTCATGCGCTATTCACAATCGCGCTCGTTCTCGGTAACTAATCGGTCTTGTTTAGCCGCCAGCTTTTCCTTGTGGTCCGCCTGGGTCTAGGCCAACTCGTTCTTCAGCCGGTTGACCTCTGCCCGTAGCTCAGTATTCTCTTTGTCAGCATCCCTCAAGGCTTTGACGTCAGCTTGGAGGTTTTTGACTTAGAGTTCAAAGTCGGTTGCTTTCTTGTTGGTTATATTAGCAGCAGCCGTGAGCTCCTCCTCTTTCATCTTCCGGCTTTTAGTTTGGATTTCATACATAAGGGAGTCATATTAGGTAACATTAATGAGTTCGGCTGCCCGTCTTTGGCCATCCTTTACCTCCTCTTGCTTTTTTCGCAAGGGGACCTTCATCCCATCCACCATCAACATACCTACAAAGTCAACCGGAAAGAAGTTAGTTTTCCAATTACGCTACAACCGGTAATGAACAAAATGGCACAAAAGCACCCCAACCGGTGAATTACCTCAGCCAGCAGTGAGTTGATGCGGTAAATGTTGACTTGGTTTATGCCCGGTGTCGCTTTCTTATCGGACCGGGTAAGGGTCCTCAGCATTCTCTAGGCGTAATTCTGGAGATCCGGCCAACGAGAAGAGGCATATGCATCAATAGATTTATCGGTTAAGTATTGAGCATATATGGAGCCTATATTCTGTTGGCTGCTTGAAGAATCCCCTAACTGGGTAGCTTGGGACTTGACTCGCACAGGTCCAAGCGGCTAGGGGGGATTAAAGGTGAGAGTAGTACCTTGATGTTCAGGCTAAGGGGTCACTCCACCCCTAGCTGCATTGGAGCCGGATGCTACAACAAGCACCCGACTTGAGGGAACTTCGGGCTCCCTAATTTTGACCTTAGCCAGCCCTGAGCTCAATCGAAGATTCTTCAGGCTATTGCCTGCTGTGGTAGGCCTCTCAGGAGCAGACGGCCTTCCACTAGAGGCAGGGGCACACGATACCCTTCTTGTCTTGGAAGTAGGCTGGGGCCTCTTCAGCATTTGTCTAAGGGAACTAGGAACATTCTTGTTCCCCGTCTGCAAAAGAGAACAACTTAGCCAGTTAGTATCAAAATAAGCCACAAATATTACAGACGGTAAAAAGCAGTCGGTGCTTACCCCATCATCTTTGGCCGCCAGTTGGGCCCTCTTTTTCTCCAATTAATCCTTCCGGATCTCAGCAGCAGACTTAGCCGGTGTCTTTTCAAGAGGCACCATCTCTAGTCCTTTTTCTGCAAAGAAGAAAAACCAAAAAAAATACAGAACTCATTCAAGTATGATACAGACGGCATAAAGTGTAAGCTAACAATCAACATATGTCTGTTCAAAATGTGCTAAGGCCACAGGGGGAAAGGAACGCCTCGTCCTTAAGCCAGTCCGGACGAGGGACCTAGTGTTTGGGGACAATGACTTATGTTCCTTCATCCAAAGGCAAAGTGGTCATTTTGAAAAGACCCAACTCCATTATTTGATCCCATGCCGCCTCCGGTGCTTTGGAAAGGGCACACTTTTTTCCAAGAAGAACCGGGTGGGTGTTGTAGCGACGCAGCCGGTGGTTTAGTTGCACTGAAGGGAAGAAACCATGTAAAATTTTCTCTTCCAACTGCTCCACTTAGACAGTTTATCCAGCGTTATCATATATTCCGGATGCGTGGTCTATGTATACTACGCATTCCAGCCGCCCAGGGCACGACTGAGGTAATGCATATATGCAAACATCTCCCAGGTAGACGTTATGTCCTGCATCTCGCAGGCGGCGATGTACCCAAGTATATTCACCTAAGAGTTGGGTGTTAGTTGCCAAACGCCAAGGTTGTAACCCCTTAGAATGGCTTTTATTGTGTTGTGGAGGGGGAACCGGAAGCCGGCTTTGAATGCCGCCTCATAGCAGCCAAAGTAGTCATTGGCGTGGTCAAGGTTGTCCTCCCAGACGACGATTGCCTCCACTAGCGGTACAACTATTTCCCATCTGGCCCAACCAGACGCTTCTCCAAAAATGTCGAAAGGTTCAGGGTGACCACATCCCAGGCGCTCATATGCGCCTCTGTTGGATTGTTTATGGAGGGCCACTTATATGCTTCCTCATCCTCTTGAGGGGAATTTGGTTCCATTGTTGACTTAGTAGAGTCTGATTGTTGGACGGTCTCTTCGCCGTCTGTACTTTAGGATTCCTTGAAGATCTCATCTCAAGGCGTGCTAGATACGCCCGGCTGGTCATAAGGTACATTGTTAGCCAGAGCTTTGGCTGAGCCATCTAACTGGTATTCAGGGTCAACAGCCTTCCGTCTCGTTTGAGCCATTCTGTCCTGCACATAAACAAAGACGGTCAGATTCGCATAAGAATGGTCCAAACACCCCCAGACGGCATCCCCAGTCCTAGACTCAGCCGTGTTCGGTGACCGACTGAAACTGTCCTAGGCCATGTCGTGTGTGTGTTGGGTGAGTCTATTATTGTTTAACAAGCTATACTACCGGAAAAAGCGCAAAAAGTTGCAAGGGGCAAAGACGGTTTCTTGAAGTTGTATGAAATTTGAAGACGGTTGCCTTCTTAAAGTCTGCAGCCAGAAATTCGCTTGGTTGCTTGATGATACCCCAGGCGGTATCCCGGATATACCCCTTTGAAGAGAAACTAAACCTCGCTAAAGACCCAGCCGTTTCTCTGAAAAGTGTCTTGAGGATACCCTAAACGGTAATGACTGGTTGTGGGTGTATTGAAAGCTAGGGAAAATAAAAGGGTACTCAGACGATTTTGAAGAAAGTGGCTAGAAGATGCCCTAGACGGTTTTGACTGGCTGTAGGTATATTGAGAGCAAAGGGAAGAAAATTGACTTTGATCAGGCAATATCTGAGAATTTTGAGCAAAGAACACTCAGACGGAAGCCGGATGAGTGAAGAAAGAGAAGATGGTTGTGAATGCAATAGCAGCCGGTATCAGAGCGTTCTCTCAGAATTCTCTCAAAAACGAAAAATTTGCAAAGTGTGAAAATGAGACGATGGGGGTCTCTATTTATAGAGAATCTTAGAAGGCGAACTGTCACTTTCCATTCAAATTCGAAATTCGAATTCAAAAAAAAATAGAGAGGGATGAAGACGAACCACCACCTTCCCATAATGTGACACCTGTCACAGGTGCCACGTGGTGAGCCACGTCACACCTGTGAGGGGCAAATGTTTAGCGTAAAAATACCCAATCCACGTGGCCCAATGACATGCTAATACGTGACTGCCTCAGAGAGGCCAAAGGGGATCTAACCCTCTGCTGACACGTGACACATTAACCCTTAAAGGGGAATTGATCCCCTTCCACTATAAATAGAGGAAAATCCTCATTTATTACACATTCAAAAATACAAACACAAAAAATCGAGCAATATTAATTGCAGAATTGTCTCTGAATTAGAGAGAAAAGCCTTTATATTTCGTACTTTTATTCATCCGGAAACGTTCTAACTTGATTGTCGGAGGCGGAACTCTACCCAACCGGAGTTTCCGTGGTTTTGCAGGTACAGACGGTTGACGCACATCATTGAAATTGTAACTTTCCCGAGAGACTCTAAAAACCCCGAATCACTTTAAATAATGGTTATGTCATACAAAATTGTTGTATGTTTAACATGGTTTAAATCTGATTAACCCTTAGATTTCATACTAATGTTAGTTCACGGCTTAATGTGAAGTGTTATGTTGCTTGTTCATCGTCTATACTTTGAAGAATGATGGTTCTGTCATTGAAAGAGTTTGAATGCTTGAGTATTCCATTAATCAATGTGCAGTATAAATACAAAGGCCATGCATTACGTAGCCTTGAACCTAGGAGCTAACTAAGTGATAAGTACAAGCTAAGTTAGAGATAAATACAAATATAAACTACATTATCTTCCTAACTGATATAACAAGCGAATATATATCATATATTCTCTAATACACCCCCGCAGTCGTAGCGGGAGAATCACTAATGCTAAGACTGTATCGGAATTCATCAAACAGTATACGGGGAAGTCCCTTTGTAAAAATATCCGCAATTTGATAACGAGAAGGAACATGAAGAACTCGAATTTCCCCTTTAGCTACCTTCTCACGAACGAAATGAATGTCCATCTCAATGTGCTTGGTGCGTTGATGTTGCACCGGATTTCCTGATAGGTAGATGGCACTGACATTGTCACAATATACCACGGTAGCCTTTCGGATGGGGCAATGTAATTCAAGTAGCAGGTTTCTAATTCAAAACGAATCAGAAACTACATTTGCAACTCCGCGGTACTCAGCTTCGGCGCTGGAACGAGATAAGGTGGGTTGTCGTTTCGACGACCACGAAATCAAGTTGTCACCAAGAAAAACACAGTAACTAGAGGTAGATCGTATGGTGTCCAGGCATCCACCCCAGTCAACATCAGTATAAGAAACGAGCTTACGAGTGGCGGATGGATATAAGTGTAGACTGAAAGAGAGAGTACCCTGCAAGTAGCGTAAAATACGCTTAAGAGCAGACATATGTTCAACTCTAGGATCATGCATATGAAGGAACACCTGTTGAACTGCATATGAGATGTCCGGACTAGTGAAAGTGAGATATTGTAGAGCGTCGGTCAGACTCCAATATTTAGTCGGGTCTTCAAATGGAGTGTCAGCAGAGGCACTAAGTTTGGTTTTAGTGTCTACAGGAGTGTGGCAGGGGCTACAGTTAGATATGTCAGCCCTGTCAATTATCTCTGTTGCATACTGTTTCTGAGACAAGAACAAACCATTAGTATGACGAGTCACTGCAATTCCAAAAAATAGCTTAAAGGACACAGGTCCTTCATAGCAAACTCGGCACCCAAGAGTGTAATGAAGTGCATACGCATATGATCAGATGATGTTGTAAGGATAATATAATCAACATGTAATAGAATATAAGCCGTATCAGCCCCCTGTCTATAAATAAACAAAGAATGATCAGATATACTATGAGAGAATCCAATAGTGGTCACGAAATCTGCAAATCGCTGATACCAAGCCTGAGAGGCCTGTTTAAGACCATAAAAAGACTTTTTCAATAAGCACACATGATCAGGATGGTTCTTGTCATGGAACCCCCTAGGTTGATGCATATAGACTGTTTCATTGAGATAACCATGTAAGAAAGCATTCTTGACATCCGGCTGATGAATGGGCCAAGACTTTGAGAGAGCAATGCTAAGAACAGTACGAATAGTGGCCGGTTTCACAACCGGACTAAATGTCTCATCACAGTCAACTCCCTACTGTTGAGTTTTCCCGTCCCCGGCCTACAAGACGAGCTTTATATCGTTCAAAAGAACCATCATACTTCCTTTTATGACGAAAAATCCACATGGACCGAATAACATTCACATCCTTAGGCCTAGGTACCAATTCCATTGTATGATTGTCAATTAGAGCATTAAATTCATCTAACATTGCATTTTTCCAATTAGGGTCACGAATAGCACTAATGGGGTCCTTAGGTATAGGAGAAATGTTAGGGATAGTCATGGTGGCAAAATTGTGAAAATATTTGGAGTTGGGTTTAGAAATGCCATTTTTTGCTCTAGTAGTGATAGAATGGGAGTTAGGAATGTTAGGGGGTGATGGAGTGTGTAAGGGAATAGATGTGGAGTTGTCTGGAATAGGTTGAGTTGACGGCCTAGTCCGCATTAAGGAGGGAGGAGTGGTTTCTGGGCTTTGCTGTTGAGACGTAGAGGGAGGAGGAATTGGTCCAGGAGAGTTCAGCCCAGCAGGAGATGGGAAGGGGAGATTGGTTTGCAGGAGAGGAGGGTGAAGAACCGGACCTGGGGGATTGGACTCAGGTGGTTGGGCTGTATTCGTGTGTGGGCCAAGCTGAGTGGTTATACTCGTGGGTTGAGTTGTTGTGCTATTTTGGTGATGTATGTTGCTGAGAATTGGGTTATAGGCTAGAACTTAGTAATCATCCATACAAGGTGTGTGAAGCTTGGAAAATGGGAATTCGGTTTCTACAAATCTCACATGGCGACATATTATGATTTTTCCATTTGACATATTGTAGCACTTAGAACCACGGTGATTTACAGCGGGACCAAGATAGACACACGGGGAGGACCTTTGTTGCAATTTGTGAATGGTAGTGGAAGGGAAGAGAGGAAAACATAGGCAACCAGATACACGTAATTCCGAGTATTAGGGATTACATTGATATAGAATTTGAGTGGGAGACTTAAATCCTAGTACTTTGGTTGGTAGAATGTTTAAGAGGTAGGTGGCCATTTCTAAGGCATGATGCCAAAAAGAAAGAGGCAAAGAGGCATGTGCAAGTAAGCTCCGAATTATATTGTTTATGGATTTTATGTGTCTTTGACAGGCTCAAGTCGTATCACCTAAATCAAAAGTAAATCCTTAAATCACCAACTAATATAGCTAGGGAAGTAGGGTCGAATCCACAGAGAGACAGGTCTTTCTCTTCCTAATTAATTAATATAATCTAGACTATTGGAGTAACTAGCTTGTTTATATAAATGTTGAACTAACACTAATCTAAGCAAAATAAATAGAAGAAGAAACAATAATAAAAGGACTAGGGTATACGGTAACCAATAAACAATATTCCGGGGTAAAACACAACAATCAATCATCAATGCATAGACTAATTAATAAGATCATAAAGGGCTTTCTCTACGTATTACAATCATAGAATTAATTTACCGGTATTAAATCGCATATCTCGAATCTTGACCTAACCATTTATAAATTAATCCGCCTATTGAAACTAAGCCTAAACATCAATTCTCATCTCTCGAATCTCGAATCGATATTGCATAACTCAATACAATTAAACCAGATCTAATCTAATCACAAGGCGTTGAATCAATCAACAGGAAACCAAACAAAGCATGAACAATCAACAATGATAAATTACCCCTTCATATTATTTATGGATCCCCATAAACCCTAGAATTAAACTACTCACACATAATTAAATTAACACTAATGAAATAAATCAAACAAGACATAATTAATCAAGAACTTAATTGCTAAAAGTAAAGGGAAGAAATTGTTACCAAGATTAATGGGAAATTGTAAATTGTATAAATAATTCTTCAAAGTATCAAAGAGAATCAAAAACAAGAAATTAACACTCTCTAATCGCAACTAATCTAAGTTCAAGAACGTCAAAAACCGAATTAATCGTATTTCCTAAATTAACTAATTAAAGGCTACACAAACACGCGCCCGGTCGGGCAGAGCATCGCCCGGCCGGGCGCGCCTTTATGACTCTACTGACTACATCCGCGCTCGGTCGGGCGCGGCAATCGGGCGAAGGACGCTTCTCTTCTATACGCTTTGCCCGGCCGGGCGCGCCTTTGGGCGAGGGCTTGCCCGGTCGAGCGAGCCTTCGAGAGAACCTTTTGGGCAGCCTTAACTTATTTTGGGCTTAAATCTCTTTGTCCCAAATTCCTACGCCAAGCCCTTGATTGCCCATTTGATGAATCCAATCGGTCTTGGGTTGTGAATTATGGTCATGTTCTCCAACGCTCGTAGTGGTCCATCATAAGTCCGGGAAAAAGCTCCAAATCTGCAATTTCCTACAAAACAATACCAAAACTACGAAAACACTGGAAAACGCATATTAGTAATAAAAGTGACTCCGAAGAGCCAATAATACTCCTAAAATTGACCAAGGGACGGGGGTAAATCTTTGTATAAAATGAACATATCAAACTCCCCTAAGCCAAACCTTTGCTTGTCCCAAAGCAAAGAACTCATCAATGAACAAATAAAACATACTTCACCTCAAAAATAGTGCAAACCAAGTTTACTAATTCAAGGCAAATCTGACAAGCATGCATTGAAGTCAACCAATCAAGATCATCTAATTACTCATCCTTCCTAACAATTGTCAAATCAAGCAAACCACAAGAGCATATAGAATTCAAGACTAGTGCTCGCGCACTCTTCACTCTTTTACGTGGCGAGTAAAAGATGTACTCGATCGCTCTCCAACCACCCCTTTATATGTGAAACAATGCCCTCCCAAACTCACAACACTCGTGTGTTTAAGAAAACAAGCACTCAACCTAGCAGTCGACTCGAAATATATCAAATCAAACTTCGCATTGGAAAGCAACTAATTTCACATTCATACAACTCAATGAACAATGGTCAGAAGATCTTCAAAGTTTGTAACGTAAGGTTAGGGTAAAAAGGTAGGAAATATTTGGGAAAATGTAGGAGGAAAGCCATGCTTAAGGGAGCCAGAATCCTAACAAGTAAAACCAAGGTCAAACACAAACAATGACCTAATCATCTCCATCACAACTCAACTCTACAAAAATTCACCAAACACCCAATTAATCAACAATAATTCCCACACTTACAACTTCACTCATATATACAAAATATAAAATTATAGAACTTGAGTGAACAAACTTTGAACTTCCTTTTCTTTTTTTTCCTTTCTTTTGATCAACCTTCATCACTTAGAACATTTGAACTTCTAAACAATTTTTTTTGCTTTTTTGTTCTTCTTTTTTTTTTTTTTTCTTTCACATTGGAAATTTTCAAACATTGAACACAATTTCTCAATTTTTCCAATCCACAAAATAAGAACAAATAAAAACTTCTCAAATCCACCCAAATTGTGTAATTATTGCGCACACTACAACTCCCTCACCTCACTCACTATTAGCTCCCCCAAACCAAGCTTGGGACTAGTAACCAATGGGGCAAAAATAGGCTTGTAATATGGCTAATCAACAATAAAAGGTCAAAGTAACAACATGGGTAGCAAGTTGGGAACAAATGTATCTATAATCATCTGAAGGCTACCTAAGAGAACAAATGCCTTCGTCCTCCTCAATGTGCATAATAATAATTCATACAAATATTACTCAAAGTTGCAAACCGAGACTCAATTTCATTGACATACCAGGAACTAACACACATTCCTAACCAAATCAACTAGCCAAGCACTATATTCACAAGTAGTTGGGCAAAATTCGACTCATGTTAAGACATATAAGCAATTAATAGTCAAATCATGGCTAACCTATCTACAATACTCATCATCATAAACCAAGAATCAAAACAATGAGGCCAGGGAAGTATGATTTATTATTCATTGGATCGTATTTTTGAATATTTTTATTTTTTTCAAAGCTAGACCGTCTCCCCGGCAACGGCGCCAAATTTTGACAAGCTCAAGTCGTATCACCTAAATCAAAAGTAAAATAATTAGAAATAAAATCTAGACCGTCTCCCCGGCAATGGCGCCAAATTTTGACAGGCTCAAGTCGTATCACCTAAATCAAAAGTAAATCCTAAAACCACCAACTAATATAGCTAGGGAAGTAGGGTCGAATCCACAGAGAGACAGGTCTTTCTCTTCCTAATTAATTAATATAATCTAGACTATTGGAGTAACTAGCTTGTTTATATAATTGTTGAACTAACACCAATCTAAGCAAAATAAATAGGAGAAGAAACAATAATAAAAGGACTAGGGTATAGGGTCACCAATAAACAATATTTCGGGGTAAAACACAACAATCAATCATCAATGCATAGACTAATAAGATCATAAAGGGCTTTCGCTACGTATTACAATCACAGAATTAATTTACCGGTATTAAATCGCATCTCTCGAATCTTGACCTGACCATTTATAAATTAATCCGCCTATTGAAACTAAGCATAAACATCAATTCTCATCTCTCGAATCTCGAATAGATATTTCATAACTCAATACAATAAACCAGATCTAATATAATTGCACGACGTTAAATCAATCAATAGGAAACCAAACAAAGCATGAACAATCAACAATGATAAATTACCCCTTCATATTATTTATGGATCCCCATATAAACCCTAGAATTAAACTACTCACACATAATTAAATTAACACTAATGAAATAAATCAAACAAGACATAATTAATCAAGAACTTAATTGCTGAAAGTAAAAGGGAAAAAATTGTTACTAAGATTAATGGGAAATTGTAAAGTGTATAAATAATTCTTCAAAGTATCAAAGAGAATCAAAAACAAGAAATTAACACTCTCTAATCGGAACTAATCTAAGATCAAGAACGTAAAAAACCGAATTAATCGTATTTCCTAAATTAACTAATTAAAGGCTACACAAACACGCGCCCGGTCGGGCAGAGCATCGCCCGGCCGGGCGCGCCTTTTTGACTCTACTGACTACATCCGCGCCCGGTCGGGCGCGGCAACCGGGTGAAGGGCGCTTCTCTTCTATACGCCTCGCCCGGCCGGGCGCGCCTTTGGGCGAGGGCTTGCCCGGTCGGGCGAGGGAGAACCTTTTGGGCAGCCTTAACTTCTTTTGGGCTTAAATCTCTTTGTCCCAAATTCCTACGCCAAGCCCTTGATTGCCGATTTGATGAATCCAATCGGTCTTGGGCCGTGAATTATGGTCATTGTCTCCAACGCTCGTAGTGGTCCATCATAAGTCCGGGAAAAAGCTTTAAATCTGCAATTTCCTACAAAACAATACCAAAAC